ATACGTATATATATATGTGTATATACGTATATATATATGTGTATATACGTATATATACGTATATATATGTGTATATACGTATATATACGTATATATACGTATATATAGGTGTATATACGTATATATACGTATATATACGTATATATACGTATATATACGTGTATATACGTATATATATGTATATATACGTATATATACGTATATATACGTATATATATGTGTATATACGTATATATACGTATATATATATATACATATCAGTGGCGGCTGGTCATACATACACTGTATTACACTGTATGTATAGGGCTCAACATCAGTTTAAAATCACTGAATCCTACCACTGGTATTACCGTGGAGCACTCAAGACTGCTACTCGCTTATGAGAGTAATGAAGTTCAAATGAGAGAAGCATGGATTTCTATTGACTAAAATAAGGCACACCTCGAATACGTTGTTGGAATACATAATGTGTTGGTGGCAAATCTGTACCAATGAAGGTGTTTCTAAACGTTTGTAATTCATGTCAGACTCTAGTTGATGGCGAGAACACTGGTGCGGGTTTGAGTTGTCATCTCAGTGTTTCAAAAACTCCACCATAACTTTGCTTCATGTTCCTTTTCATCCCCAGCTACTGCCTGTGAGTCGGTGAGTGCCCATTACCGATAAGAATCCGATAAGTGGCCAGATAACAGTGTGCTTTTTGGAAATGGCCTCCTCCAGATAATAGAAGTGAAAGTGGCCTGAACCAGAGATCATGAAGCAGGTATTCTTCAGGAAGAAAAGCAGGAACAATGCTTCCTTCATCAATGTCACGAGTTTTAAAGAGCCTATATAATGCAGCTAACGCAATTTCATTTTTATGTTAAAGTAGTAAAAACACCAGAAATGATTTTTTTTCATTTCTTTTTTGATGTTTTTGCCTCGAGCAGAACAAAAGCTCGTCGTGCCGCTGTGGGTTTTGAGTAGATGTCGTGTTCCTGTGTCTTGTGATATTAGGACTCATTCTCCTCGTTACATAAACCAGTTGGTATCTCTCTGTGCAAAGCACGGGGATTCAAAGCCACATCATCCGATCGCCGCTCATGACATGAATAAAGAAGTCCGCGATGATGTCACCTCAGACACATTAGCACGTGCCACTTAGTGCCTCTTTTTGCGACCTGAGCTGTCATTCGTAACTGTTTGACATCCGTCCAGTTTAGCCACTTACAAATGGATTCAACCTGAAACAATTTATTTAATGAGGTGTGAATAAGGCTGACATCCCAGTGTCATTACTGTTTTATGAAAGCTGACATGGACATCACTCAGTCTTTATGAATGTCGTGGAGTGTCATTCGGCTAATAATGTCCCTTCAATGCGATGTCTGACTGGTGTCGACATGACGACATGACGAGAGGACACAGCCTATAAAAACATGGCAGGTTCCATATCATACAAAAAGCTCTGGTGATCAAAGTCTGAACTCAAATGTTTTCTCTCCTTAAGAACAGATGGTCTTAAATTGGTGAAACATTTGGGAAAAGGTTTTTATTTTAAATAAGGTTTTTATTTAATTTTTCGAAGTTGTGTTTTTTTCCTTTTTTTTTATCTGTGAGAACTGATGAGAAAAAGTGTTGCGTGTTGTTGTCAAACTCATTTTGGCCTCAAAAGCTAAAGTCCATCACTACCTTATGTCCTCAATAGGATTAAAGGCGTTCATATTTTATCCCTGGTGAGTTTAGATTTTCTCCATACACTCATACATACATGCATATAAGTGTTCGCAAGTTATATAGAAGAAACCTGGAAGAAAATGTTCATTTTTTTTAATCCTATTAAATGGTGCACTCCAGCATCCTGTGGCCACTATGATTATTACCACAACACAGTAGATCAGACTTAAGGAATGGATCTCTCACTCTCAGAGCCCTTACGGCGTGTCATGAAGGAAAACACTGATGTTTATGTTTCCACAGATCTGTGGAAGCATTGTCAGGTTCATAAGAAGTGATGCGGTGTATGTTTGCGGCATCAACTGAAGAAGGACTGGGTTGTGAGCAGTAATCGCTCCAAGAATAACAGACAAAGCAAGACATCACAGCACTGGGGGGGGCAGTGTTCTGTTCACACTGATGCTGCTTCAAAGACAAACAAAAGAATACTGCAGATTACTACATTGAATTTCTGCATGCGTCCACCTTTTGATGCAAACCGCGTCGCTCTGTAGTCGCAGGGAAACGGCGGTGTTGGAAAGCAGTGGGATGTCTGCAGAATTCAGACCGACCGAGATCAACCGGCGGAGGCTGCGACTCTCTGAGAACAGGCGGATGTGTTTATGCATAATGACGGCGAGGGAGATCCGCGGGGACCTGGTTTCCCCTTATATGTCAGAAGTCTGCGTGATTGACACTAAGCTAAGTTTGTTCCTCCTGCCTTTTCCCTGTTAATGAGCCCTGGCAATGCTTATAAAGGATTTAAATAGATCAAATCAGATGGAGGTAACTCGTGGATAGATCATAGAGAATAGGGCATCAGAGAGGGAACAATGTGTGATTCGGGTAGCGGGGGGTAATCGTGGCAGGTGATGGAGATGGAAATGGAACGAATGCGGAGCCCGAGGTACGGTGGGAGGTCGTGGTTGACAGCGAGAGTAAAGAGACACATAGACTGATGAATCAACAATAGGTTGGCGGTCTTTGTCCTCAGTAAAAAAAAGAAAAAGGATAAAGGTTATTGCTAATTTAAGAAAATAAGAGCGCTCAGTGGAGATGTCGAGAGACGAGGATCTTAAACGTTTCCCAGCTGAATCACAGCAATCGAGTGAAATATCAGTCTGTCCCTCCTCTGTTTGTTCTTGATGTAAACATGCAATCACACCCATCTAATTATGGTATTCATAACCCATATTTCAGACATGTTCATATATGAAACCCTTTGCGTAGATGGCTGCAGAGTGAAGTCAATGGCAAGCTGGGTTTGAGTGTTACTGATCATTATTTGCGCTCCAAATTCCGATTCTGGCATCAACGGTCAAAACACAACACACACCCACAGTCACACAGACACACTCTTAATACATTCAAATGGGGATATACCTCTCGCGTTAGCCTCTCGGGCCAATTAGCACCGATAAGTCGTCCTTCGGCAGAAAGAGGAACCGTGCCCGGCTGGGAATTTCACCCTCTCGTTAGCCTCTTATCTCTCAGATCCCATAGTAGGCAAACCTATAAGCACCAAGGGAGCCGCAACCATTTATAATAAGCACCGCATGGTAAGGTGACCTGCACAGTGGACAGGAGCAGTTTAACTCTGCCCGGGTTTAATATGGGGTGAAAAAACGAGCTTTTGACTCTTTGTCTGTCAATCGTGAGCAACGATGTGAAAGCGCACGCATGCAGGTGGGACCAAAAAAACAAAACTCACACAGACACTGAAAAACAGCAGGGCCTGGGGGATCGCACTTGTGAGTAAGATGTCAGCATACTTGGCTCGTGTTCCCTCCTAGGCCTCGAGAAAAGCAGAATACAAAATGTGCTAAGAGATAGAAATAACAAGCACGGAATATGTCAAGGGTGAGAAATGCTAGCCAAGCATAGAATACGCTGCCGTTTTTTTCCTGCTGGGCAGCGGGACGCGACCGCTTCATTACTCACTGCGGCTGACCGACTGCACATATTTTTCGACGCAGGGATGAATGCATGAAGGGCCGGCGGACACGTGAGCTTTTCGGTTTTTTTTTTTTTGCACATTCGGTGTCATGCTGTACTCACGACATAGGTCGCCTTCGTCGTCGCCGAGTGGGCAGTCCGTGCTGAAGTCGCACAGTTTGTCCAGTGGGATCCCCGGTCCCTGGTGACAGTGGTACTGGCCCTGCAGGGTGACGTTAGGGCCGGGTGCGGACGCTGGACAGAGGACAAGAAGAACAAAGAACATTTTTGTCATATTAAACGTTCCTCACACAGTTTCAACAATGCTGGGAAATGAAAAACAGAAACAGAGAATCTACCGTTAGAGCCAAAAAAATGGCTCCACATTATCTTCCAAGTTCACGTATAGAACATCACGGCTAGATGAACTGTATTTGTCAGACACAAATCATAACTCAGGCAAAATGTTGCCTGCAAACAGTATAAAAATATACAGTTGTGTAAAAGTACATCAGTCAGTGACAATGGCTAACATAGCCCCTGACTGCAAGCCCTGTATGACATCCACAAACCGCCTGTACCATCATAAATAACTTTTGGCCCAGGCTGCATTAGCATCTGGCTTTAAATAAAGTACATATCCATCAGGCAAGGAACACAAGCAGCAAAAAACAAAACAATGACCTAGATACTGTAGTTAGTGGAGGCACACACACACACACACACTGATATCACCGGGTCCAAACACATCAACTGTAACCTGGGACATTTGCATATCTATGCAAATCAGAGAAGTGATATCTCCAGGTTGTAAAAAACGGGCTGTTCACCTCCACCTTCATCATCACAAGCTGTTCACATTGAAGAGAACAAAACTATCCCTGCCCCCCCCCCCCC